GAGAGTGTTTTTGGAACCAATCTTTAGTAAATATACAAGTAAATCATAGAAAAACACTTAAGTGCTTCCTTATGCAAGTAAATCATGAAAAAACACTTGAAGTGTTTCCTTCAAGAAGCACATAACTAGTATTTCGTTCAAGAAGCACCTTAAGTACTTTTAGAAACCCAAAAAGACTTTCATTAAAAATAATTTTGATCATTTTAAAAGTACTTCCAAATAAGTCATGAATTTGTGTTATTACAACATGGAACTTTTCAAAATTCAATTTTCCACTAGTTTGCTTCGGCCCTCAAAATCCTGGGCCGGCCGGTGTGTCGGTTGTGGAGGCTGGACATCATTCAAGTTGTCTTTCACAATTGGGACAACAAATGTCTTGCTTCTTTACCAATTCATAATCCCTAGCTTTGCTCCTTTTTAATTATTTCTTTTTCTTCCTAACTAAGCCTAACCACTGTCCACCTGGACAAATCAGTCTCAACCTAACATTTTTTTCAGTGCGGATTTTTTAAGAAAAGTGTTATTAACACTCAAAAAATTTCATTCTACACTCCTCACAAGTGTATTTTTCTTTCTAAATATAGAAAGTTTAGAGTTTAGAATGAGAATTTTGGAGAACCAATAACAATTCTCTTTCTGAATTCAAATCATTAGTTTTCAAAAAATCATCGGCGCCAAACTTTTTGGGGACCATTTTGTTCTTGGTGTGTACATCATCTCACTTGCCAAAAAGGCACAAATGAATATCATACAAACTCTTTGTGACCTTTTCAAATGCCAAATGATAACTACATTTTTTTTTCTTGGTAGTGTTATCTAACACACTTATTTTTACTTTTCACACATCTTTTTCAATTTTTTACTGTCATTATCGAATGAATTGGAGAAGATCAATGACAAAAAATTAGAAAGGGTGTGTGAGAGGTAAAAATACGTTTGTAAATAACACTATTCTTTTCTTTTCCACATTCACTTTAATTTTGTCTGTTGTTTCCGTTTAATTATTTAATTTAGTAACTATAAATAAACATGAAAATGCAAGAGAAGCAAATAATGTTTGTTATAGTAATTTCTATTTCAAATAACGAGTTTAGTGTTTGTGTTTTTCCTTTTCAATTACAAATGATGTGCTACACTGCAAAAAGGAAATATTGAACTTGAAATGCAGTATGTTGAAGATGAATATTCTATCCACCAAGGCAAGCCACCAAAGGCAGCTTCTTGTTCCCTTTCCTTGAGTTATATTTAATCAATTTGCAAGGAACAATAATCTTGATATATCAAATTGATCAAAGAAAAGAAAAAAACAAAGCAAAAAATTTGAATCAACTAAAGGGTGCGATCCAATTCAAATATGAAACGACAATCACCTCCAACTTTGCATAAGTAAGAGTTGTCTTTTTTTTTCCTTCTTAAAAACTAAAAAGGAGATCAGCTGGTGGTTTTATTACGGCAGTCCACCTTTATGAGAACCGAGAAAACTTACAGAGGCATTACAGCCTCCCCCTAGCCACATCATGTGATTCATAAGTAAGAGTTGTCTTGAAGCCACATATCTCTTATTACTAATCAATCATAACTATGTAAATGATGTTATAAGTCGCTTTGATTTGCTTTGCTTATGGTTCAAAGTTCACGTCTAATCTCAAATGTAATCATCTCCGGGAGAGCATCTTTGTCTTCTTTTAAGAAATTAATATTGGGACCAATTACCACCAAATCATTCACTAATTGAATTAACATGCTTGTTTATTTTCTATGGCCCACATATCGTTTTCTATACACAATCTTAGAAGCAATAGCAAAAGCGATGCTTGAAGGAGCCGAAATCCTTAATGAATGGTCCAAAAAGTGGAAATGAATGGATAATGATTGTTTTGGTGGGGGGAAATGTTTGATAAAAGAGAGATTCTGTCAATCGTGTATTTCACCAGCAGAGCACATTTTGAATATTTGACGAGTGTTTATTAAACTGTTACGCTATTGTGACTAAAATTTGATTGCAACATCCAAGTAGGAATCGTTTCATCTATACCAACGTAATGATATCAATTCTTGTGTCTTCCATGCACTATTCTAAAAATTCCCGCCTAGAGCCATCTAGGCGCTAGACGGCTGATCACTGCCCTGATTAATGCTTAGGCGTTTGAAAATTAAAAAAGGGCGTCTACCTAGACCGCCTAGGCACCCGCCTAGCCTGCCCAGACCCGCCTAGGCACCTGTTTAGGTTGCTACTCACTTAAACAGAAAATAGATAACTTTCAATTTGCATGTAATTTTTTTCAATAAATTGTAAGAGACTTGTTGAATACTTAAATGAGCACACACTATATGTTTGTTCCCCATGTTTTCATTATGTTCTAATACTTCATAATACATATATCATTCTATTTTGTAGTTTATTATGAAATTATATATATTTTAAATATAAACAGACACTTATTTACACGAAATATAATAAATTTACTTAAATCAACCCAGGCACCCGCCTAAACCCCGCCTGGTCACCTAGGCGTTAGGCTTCAATTCGCCGCCTGACTAGCGCCTATCGTCTTTTAGAACATTGCTTCCATGTTTTCTTTCAACTTGTAATGATGACAACGACGGTACACATCCAAATCAGTCTTAAAATGCATGCTATTGATATATTGGAATATTAAGTAGATGAGGAAAGCTTGGCGACGGTGTCGCTGCGGATGGGGCGGATGAAGGCGTGGTCGAGCGGAGACTTCTTCGAATTTGTTGGTTTGACGGATAACTTAAGGATACCAGAGAATTGGTCTCGTTTCTCTGCTAAACAAATCTCGAGCTCGAAATAGCCGAGAATTGGTATCAATTTTCCGCCAAACAAGTCTCGAGCTTGCATTATACAAAATCTTATATTGAAGCTTGTTTAATTATTCGTCATTAGCAAATTGGAAGCTAATTAGTTTGGGGCTAACACAAAGTCGCAAATAGAGGTAGTTCGTTTTGAGGGATAAAAGGGTGGAAAAGGGAGGGTCAGCCTAAAATGGAAAGCCTGCTGAATACAAATGAGAAAGTGATCCAACGTGAGAAAGGTGTCCTAATCCAAAAAAAAGGAAGTTAGACCAGCTGTTGGCTTCGTCACGACAATCTACTCTTCTGGAGGTCAGCCTCCCCTAGTCATTATCGTGTGATTCACCAGCGTCAGGAATCAAACCTAGGACATGGCGTATAGAATGCGAGCCTGAAATTCGTCCCCAACCACTAGATCACCCTGCTTTTCATAAAAACAACTTTGTTCAATTCGATGATTTATGAGTGTGACAAAATTGAAACCTATCTTTGATATAGATAATTACATGATAAGCTAATGAGTTTGAAGATAACTAGAGGCGTAATGTTAAGGATGCGATGACATCGCAAACTGCAGACTAAAGAAACTTGAATTCTATTCGATCGAATGGGGTGGGCAAAACAGAGAGTACCAGAGTAGGAATTAAGGGCAGATATATGGATTGATGGTGTACCACAGCTGAAATTGTGCGCAAACTTCGGCCAACAACCTCATACCAATCGTCTCGTGTTGCCACCAAGTTGTTGAAATTCTCCCTATATAAATCCTCTAAACTCCATTGGCAGGATTGGCAACATGAAACCTATAAACTATGTTTCTCGTGTTGACTATCATTTGGCTTTCATGTCACATTCCTTAGATAATCATTTAGGGCTTGTATATTCCGTAAGATCTCACATTTTACAAACAAGTGCGCAACCTCTAAGTATGGAGCCGTTTGCGGAGAATAATGTTGTGCACGTGTGCATGTAAAACGAAAGCTTCTCTGGAACATACATGCACTGAATGATTATCTAGGGAATGCGACCTGAGGTCAAATGATAGTTATTGATTTTGGTTAAGTGACCTCGACGCGAGAAATGTAATTTATAGGTTTCATGTTGAAAATCCTGTCAATCTAGATGGTAGGGTTTAGAGGATTTAGATGGGGAGAATTTCAACCGGTGGTGGCGACATGACATGATTGGCACGGGGTTGTTGGTCGGCATTTGCGCAGAATTTCAATTTGCAGTTTGCGAGTATCCCATCGAAGATATTAAATTACGTCTCCAACGACGATTCGTTTCGTATTTAGGACCTGTCAGTTTTCGAAATTGCTTGCACTTCTGCCAAATTCTGTCGCACAAGATTCTATGTGACATTAACCGCTCCATGCTGATCATACCACTCCGCTATAATACTTGCAAAAAAATCCCCAATGTTCCTGCACTGATTTATCCAAACAGTCTCAACACACAAACCGTTATGCATTAGCGTATTTGAAAGAAATTATAGTTATCTCTAACCACACATCTCCAAAACATTATTTAACCCTTCTTATATATGACGAAGGTATAATATTTTTTGACAAATTTCGTATCCACCAAATGAGAATAAAGTACATAAGCAGACTATAATTCTGGACAGAATTATGTTTAACCCATTTAGTTGGAGATAGGCTAAGGGTTGGTTTGATATTGTTGTGCTTTGAAAAAAACTGCTTCTAATGTGCTGTGAGAATAAGTAGCAGCAGAGTGTTTGGTAAACTTTTTTTTAAAAGTTCTTTTGAAAAAGAAAAAGTAGTATTATAGTGTTTGTTAAACTTTTATGTAAAACAGATGTGAAAAAAAGCTGGTTTTTCAAAGCTGGTTTTTCAAAGCTGGGTTTTGCAGCTTTGTGTTTTTGGCTTTTTTCATCCAAAACTATGAAAAAAAGCTGAAGCTGAATGTTTACCAAATATAAAAAAGCTCCCAACTTTTTTTGATAGCCATTTTTCTTTTCAGAATCACTCCTGTTCCAAACTAGGGCTAAGTGTGTTTAAATTGGTTTTGGGCTGCAATTGAGAAAGCACTTCATGTCGTGGAAACAGAGAGATGGCAGGAGTCAGCGGTCCAGGTCTGCGATTGCCCAGTCCAGTCCAGTCCAGTCCAGGTATATTCTAGCTCAATAAAAAAAACCATTAGCCGGCCCAGTCTGGTTCATTTATTTTCTCTCTCTACGATCGTCGATAAGTGCCCAACTCCTCTTCTTTCATTTCTGGAGTGCCAGTCTCAGAGAGCATCACCCCAAACAATGAGCTCACCCACCAAACAAGATCAACAGAGTCAGTAATCTCTCTCTCTCTCTCTCTATATATATATAAATGCAAAATTATTCGGAATTTCTTTGCATTTTTTTATTTATTTTGTGGAATTTTCATTTTTCAGGCTCTGTTAAAAGAGTAGCTGTTGTTGGTGCTGGTGTAAGGTAATCTTGTTCAATATTTGCATGCAGATTTTGCTAAGCATGATTAATTCTCAGATATAATTTGTTTGTTTATTTTTGGTTGATTTTTTTTTTCTTCCGAGAATTTGACTTTGATTTTGTGTTGCAATTGCTCAAGCGGGCTTGCTGCAGCCTACAAGCTGAAATCACATGGTTTTGACGTCGCGGTGTTCGAAGCCGAGGGAAGAGCTGGAGGGAAGCTCAGAAGCGTTTCGCGTGATGGTCTTATTTGGGATGAAGGAGCAAACACAATGGTGAGTTTTGTAACCAAATAGTTTGAATCAATGCCGGGCAATTCTGAATTTTCGTTATGATTTTATACTGACATAAGTTTTTTTCGCAGACCGAGAGTGAAACGGAGGTCCAAACTTTGCTTGATAATCTTGGACTAAGAGAAAAACAACAATTTGTAAGGATTTCATTTGTAATAGTTTCACATGTATTTTAGTTTTTTTTTGTGCTGTGCTATCGTCGGCTGTGCTTTCCGTTATAAAGCAATGTGCTTTTAGCTTCAAACTTATCTTGGAATTTAATGGATGGAAGTGGCTGATGCTTCTATTAGTCTAATGATTGAATTGATTGTTTTCCGATGTTGCAGCCGATTTCACAGACTAAGCGTTATATTGTAAGGAATGGGTCGCCTGTGCTGGTATGTCTTGCTAGTTGCATCTTGTTATAGTTATATAGGAAAGCATATGAAATACATTTTCATTCGTTTTCAGTTTTTCTTCCTTACGTAGTTGAATATTTCTGATTGTGGTGACTGTCACTTTTGCTCCATTTTTCACATCAGTTACCTACCAATCCAATCGCGCTGATCACGAGCAATTTTCTTTCAGCACAATCAAAGGTTTGTTTTCTACAATACATGGCATGTCTGACGAGTTAATTTCCTAGTTTTTTAATCATGTTGCAATGCTATTTAGTAATGACCAGTATCAATGCAAAATATCGTGTTTGTGCACGTGCATAAACCATTTACATTGGCATCAACTTTGATATGCATTTCTGTATTGCAGCTTCAAATTATTCTAGAGCCATATTTATGGAAGAAAAAAGGAGTTTCCGACGATAACACCCAAGAAAGGTAGTAGTCTTCTCTGTCTTAGGACAACCACTGTCTCCTCTTTCTTTGTTAGGTTTTTAAGAAGTGATTTCCTTAGAATTCTTCTTTTCAACCTATCGTTTGCAGTGTGGGTGGGTTCTTTCAGCGTCATTTTGGGCCAGAGGTATATATTACATTGCAATATTCTAGTAAACAATAAATCTTTTGAATATCAAAATCCTCATATTATGCGTTTTCTTGATATTTTCTTATCATTTTTGCTTGGAAGGTTGTTGATTATCTCATTGACCCCTTTGTTGCCGGCACAAGTGGTGGAGATCCCGAATCACTTTCTGTGAGTAATGTCTCAATCTTTGTGCATATTTCACACTGAGTGGCTAATGGGATTGTTTCTTAACTAGTCAATTGTTACCCAAAATCTGTATTTATGCCTTTTCCATGCATTTATCTCATGAATCTTCTTATGTTTTCAATAATTCTTTTGTGTTGCCATGTGATTCTGTTTGAAGATGCGCCATTCTTTTCCGGATTTATGGAACATGGAAAAAAGGTATCTAAGTTTTCTTTTTTCATTTGTTAACAAAGACCATTTTTGCTTATTATTTTCCTTGCCTATCCTACTTTTAGTGTAGGTTGTGGGAAATTTTCCAAATTATTGCTTAGGACTAGAATAGGCATTGTGATTCTTTTAATTAGATTAGTTGACACCTTTTTCTTTCATAAGTTTATGTTCATTCGGAAAATAGGCCAGTGTTTTCGTTATCCACTCATTGTGGATAGAAATCCATACTAACCCAAGGGTTTAGAGTCGTGCTTTCTATGACTTTTCTGAAGTGAACAGAAAAAGCTCCACATTCAACCTGGTTAGGCTTCAATCAACGAATCACTTTAATGCCCTGTTTAGTGACAAGCCTATGCCAGTAGCTAAAAAAAAGATTGGCGTTTTTGAAAGTTGAATGTTAAATAGGGAACTTCTGTGTCAAGTTTTCTTATCCTTCAAATAAGACATAATTTGTTTAGCCTGTTTGACTTCTTTTCTTGTGTAGTTGATGCTTGTTGCATGATCTACGTTTGATGTTAGGTAACACTATGCTATTATGTCAGGTTTGGTTCCGTTATATCTGGGGCAATTAAATCAAAATTATCTGCCAAAAAGGAAAAAAGTGGACAAACAAAGGGTTCTGTAGAAAAAGGGAAGCGTCAGCGGGGTTCATTTTCCTTTCATGGTGGAATGCAGGTTTCAATTTATTGGTTGCTTTTCTTATTCATGGTTCATGACTCATGACTACTTTTGTAGTTCATGTTTTCTTTTTGATACCTTATGTAGAATGTTCCTCGTATTCTGTTATGTTTTCCCTATTAAATTTACAACTTCAGTTGCAATAACATTTGGTTTAGATCTTAGAGGCAGAGTCTATTTTCAAAACTAAATGTTTTACCCTGTGTTCTGTTTTTTTGTGCAGACACTCACCGATACCTTGTGCAGCCAGTTTGGCAAAGATGAGCTTAAACTGAACTCAAAGGTTTTGTCGTTATCTTATAGTCATGATGGGAAGTCTGCATTTGAAAATTGGTCTGTTTCCTCTGCTGCTAAGGATGACAAGCATTCACAAAGTTTATCTGTTGACGCTGTAGTCATGACGGTTAGTATATTGTAGTACTCTAAAAACATGGCCTTGGTGGTTTATTTACTTTCTTGTTGGGGCACCTGGTGGTTACCATATCGTTTTGCTTCACAAAATGTGCCTTCTCTGCATCTGGCATGGTTACTGTCCGAAAACAATTATGTTTTGGGAAGATCAAGATAGAGCTAGTAGATTAAAAGAAACATATGTGCTTAAACTGCTTCATTGCAGTTGTTAGATGCTTGCACAGGTGCCATGACCAAGTGGTACCAATAGAATAAATATATCTCGCATGGTTCACCTTGTTCTACATTTTGACATGCAAGCGAACTTTAGCTTTACCATTTATTCGAGTTGAACTGTAACTGCTCTTTCTGTCTAGTCTATGCATACACACACACCTGCCCTCCTATACTCCATATAATGTTTACTTTTTTGGAAGGAATACTAATATTAACTGACAAGGTTCTTCTCTGCCATAGGCTCCACTGTGTAACGTCAAAGAAATGAATATCACGAAAAGAGGAACTCTCTTCCCTCTTGATTTTTTTCCTGAGGTATTTGTGACATTTTGGTTCTTTACCCAAAAAAGAAGTTGCTGAAGTATTAGCAACATCTTATTTTTTGCTGTCTATTGCAGGTGGCTTATATACCACTATCAGTGATAATAACGACCTTCAAGAAGGAAGATGTTAAGAGACCCCTTGAGGGATTTGGAGTTCTTGTGCCCTCTAAAGAGCAGAAAAATGGCTTAAAAACTCTTGGTAATGCTTGGCATGGCCCGGTGACATTGAGTAACTAATACATTCTCCTAATATGCTTGCTACTGCTGCACAGGCACTCTTTTTTCATCCATGATGTTTCCAGATCGTGCACCTAGTGACCTGCATCTTTATACTACCTTTGTTGGGGGAAGTCGAAACAAGGAACTAGCAAAAGCTTCAACGTATGGGAAATCTCAATAATTTTTCAAAACAGCCATGTTCTCTGTCCTTGATATTGTGTGATTGGTTCTATATTATTTATGCACACATTCATACACATAGAAGGACGATATAACTTTATACAGCTAATACTCTTCTACTTCTAACTATTTCTCTAGGGATGAATTGAAGAAGATTGTTACCTCTGACATTAGGCACTTGCTGGGAGCAGAAGGCGAGCCTACATCCGTGAAGTATGTAATCCTCTCTCTTTTCGCATCTAGTGGTTTAAACAAAGCAAATAATGGAAACGAATATTTTTAGAGCCTACGTGTTTACCATTGATTTGAATAGTCATCTTATAGCTTGAAGTACACTTAATGGCAGCCATTACCACTGGAGCAAAGCATTTCCATTGTACGGGCGTAACTATGATTCAGTTATAGAAGCAATTGAGAAGATGGAGAAAAATCTCCCCGGGTTCTTCTATGCAGGTAATTACTCACCAACTGGGTGTTGTGGACGCAGTAACTCGAGATCTGGATGAGTGATGCTGTCCTTATGGTGGTTAATTATTTTCCTTTGGTATATGTTGGTGTACAAATTATGAATATTGCAGGTAACCATCGGGGCGGACTCTCAGTTGGCAAAGCAATAGCTTCTGGATGCAAAGCAGCTGAACTTGTAATCGCCTATCTGGAATCTCCGCCGGACGAGAAGACGCGTCGGGAATGATGATTGTTTTAGAAACAGAAGGTGTATCCTTTGCTCTTGGATGTAGGATCCAATACTGGTTTATGAATTATGCTGGCAGAGTTTTAGTTGTAAATGTCGAACATACTACATTTGAGCTTTCTGATGTAAAATGCATGCTTTCGTGGATTTCGTTTTCAACTTCATCTGTTTATGCGACTACCAAAACTCGGCTTTCTTTTAATGTTAGGCATACAATATAGGTACGAGGACTAACATGGTACGGGTACAATATCACGGTTATGTCCTGCGCCAAGAAATAAAGATGTGTAACATTTTGTATACATGTTTTTATTTCATTAGCATGGGATGCCACATAACGATGTACTCGTGTTATGTAAATTATTCTAATGAGAATAAATTATAGCATGCAGATGTATGTTTGCAGCACTTCCACGTGTAAGGTGGGCGCCCACACATGGGTCCCATGCGAGCGTCCTATCAAGAACTTCACCTAATATAGAGCTATGATAGTCCTCTATCAACATTATTTAGAATGCAAACGTGACATGTCGAACCAGTAATCCGACTTTACATATTTTGAGTTTTTCATATAGCATTTCATGATGTACTTGAAACAGTGTTACCTTAGTGTTTCCTCAATTGAAAGATAAGGCAGTGGAGTTGGGAAGATGGGCTTACAATTCAATTGATGCATGAAATTTACAGAAAGTTTGGAATGAACCATGTCATAATATGTTCATGTGACTAAACACCATCGACCGCTGAATGTGCGGTCAAATATCCAACAACTAATAATCCAACGATCAAAGATCCCAATGCATATAATGCTCCGGTGTATGCTAGAAAAACAAGAAATTTGGGTTGATGAGTATGGTTGTATTGGGTATGGGAGCATAGTGGCCACTTTCGTGCGTTCATCGATGGCTTCCAATCTGGTCCCCCTCCTGCCTGAATGTCTTGGCACTTGTCTTCCCTTCGTGCTTTTCAAAATCCATCATTTTCATATTAATTATTATACTTTTTGTTGGTTTTTGCGGATTTTTCCTTAAAAATAAATAAATAAAATTGTCGTTGCCTCACCTTCACATGCAGTGACTTCCCTTACTGTTTTTGTAATTATAATTATTGTTTTTGTCACACCTTGTGCCCATAAATGGAACCGAATATGTCTTGCTTTACTTTGGACTAATATGCATATGGTTAGTTGTATAAGAAGGTAGTGACAAATTGACAAATCAATTCTCAAAAGCCACATTAATATGCTAATCATGCCGAATGTCCGAGAATTCTACGGATTTGTTTGGAAGTGCTTTTAAAATAATTGAAAGTGTTTTTTTGAACCAATCATTTGTAAAAATGCAAGTGAATCATGGAAAAACATTTGAAATACTTTCTGCAAGAAGCACCAGAACATTAATATACTAATTATGCCAAATGTCCACGAACTCTATGAGTTCGTTTGGAAGTGTTTTTACAATAGTTAAAAGCGCTTTTAGAAAAAAAAATTTAACGAAGCGATCCTTAGTAAAAATGCAAGTGAATTCTAGAAAAGCACTTGAAGTGATTCCTGCAAGAAGCATATAATGGAATATATGCTTCTTGCATGAAACACTTCAAGTGATTTTGAAAATATTTCTTATTTTTTCTAAAAATATTTTCAATTATTTTAAAAGAACTTCCAAACAAGCTCTATATTTTTTGGTACCAAAGCGATATTTTATATTACTTTGATTCACGAAGAGCAACTGGGCTGTAAAGGGATGGTGCATTGTCTTGACTAATACTTGCATACCCGTTGAAAGAATAAACATATTCTACCCCTACGGATAATCACAAGTTCACAACATCTCAAGGAATCATCTTTTAGATAAACTTGGTCAAAAATTCAAAAGTTGGTCATGTTCCAAAATATACAGATATAATTATTTGCTTTCCATGGAACTACTTTATGCATTATATTTTGCATAAATCATCCTTTAAATTAGCCACAGGGAATTCCATAGTTCTGTACCAATTTCAGATTCATACTTTACATGATATATTATGGGTTCAATTTCTGACCCGTGTGGATCACATGATAGTAGCTAGAAGAAGGTTAAATGCATCTGTGAGTCTTCCTAACTCCACACGATAATAGTCAAGGAAAGACTGAAATGCCTTTGTGAGTTTTTCTAGCTCCTAAAAAAGTAAATTGCGGTGTTGGTCCCCTTTAAAAGAAAAAAAAAATCCTTTAAATTAAAATACACTGTTGTGGATGTCGAATCTCCAAGTTGCTTTTTTTAGGGTCCCAAAGAAATGACATATATAGTTGTAAAGCAAAAGTTTATCATGTTATGCAAAATGCACTTGGGATTGACTGAGTGAGATGCCAAATCCAAACACAAAAAAGAAGAAATTCAAATTCCAAAGGCAAAGCCAAAACCCAACCAACATGCCTTTGCCTTCCTCTTCCTCTTCCTCTTCCTCTTTGTCTGGCCCAACGACAGCATACAACCATTAGCAATGCTCCAACTTCTATGCGCCTTTTTAGGCGCTCGAGTGGGATCTCCATAGTGGAAACCTACCTCCACAAGTACAAATTCCTGAGATTAAATATTCTGCATTTAAAATTAATGTTTTCTTTTTGCCCTTCATTGATTGATACGCGTTTATAAACTTAACTTTTTTTAATTTTGTTGTCATAAACTTAGTATGTGTCAAACAATAAGAGATTAGGTTCACAAGGAGGCCACACCTATATTTTGGGTGAAGAAGAATTGATCTCACAACGTCCAGAATGGTTATTGTTATTGAATCTTAAGTCAATAACACATAACATTGCATGAGTTATTTTAAATGACCTCAACACTTCATAAGTACATATCTCTTCTCTAGTAAAAGTGGAGAGAGGCATATTGGGGAGCATGTGTGGAAAATGAAGCCTACCACCACGAGAAGTATGTCTAGACTTGTTCTGATGCGTTATTGACTTAAAATGTCACATTAAATAAGTTTATCTACCACCACACACCACAGAATGTGGCGGCAGCATAAGAAGATAGTTTTGGGTTCAGAAAATTTGAACTCGCCTCTTGATGGGTAAAATTTAACTTTAGTCAATTCTTTCCTCTTTATACTAATCATGCCCTAATTATAATTATAATAATTTGTAATCAGAGTTTCATGGGATTCTAAAAGTGTACAGCTCTGCAGAGCAACGTGCTGTGGCTGTGCAACTTGCTCCAACGGTCCCATTGCCCTACCAATTCCTTTCTTCCTTTTTTACACTAAATGCTCCACTTTAACTCTAACTCTCAATTTCAGAGCCTGTGATTTTCCTTTCGACATGCTTACTATTATTTTTTTTACTAAATTGCCCATTTAAACTCGTTTAGGCATATAACATTACGTGATTAGTTTGATATATCGTAACACATAGCATCTTTTAAGTATAATTTGTAATTAGTTTGATATACTGTTACAATAAACGGGGACAGTTTGGTCATATCAAGCACCGATCAAATGGCAGTATGGCACCACCGAGAGAGAGGGAAAAACCATGTGGTGCCGCTACTGCAATTACCAGCGGAATATTAGGCAGTTCACGAGAATCAACGAACTAAATTTCCCTGAACACCAATAATTGAAAGAACCCAAAGTTTTTCTATTAATTTACAGATTTTGTGCCATTTTTCCTCAACCTTCGAGCCTTTGCTTTTCCACTTGCATTTCTGTCTCTCAGACAAAAATCGGCCCCATTAATGGCGCCTTGTCAGTTTCCACCCTCACAGAAAAACCAGAAGTAAATGCTTCGCTGCTGGCCTTTACGGCCTTCTCCAACTACCATTCCATTATTTCCTCTCTACACAAACATTCACTGACCAAGAACATCACTGTGGGAGCTACCCTTTAATGGTGTTTTTGGTTCTTGCAACTCCCAAGGTTTGTCTCTTCTTCCTCCTACCTTATCTGCATTTTATTTCTCTCCCCATTTTTTCTTCTGGGTTGTGCTTTTTTCTCTGTTTTTTTTTCCCAGAAAATTTCTTAAAGATGCTTCCTTTGAATGATTAATCCTTGTTTTTCACATGGGTTTTTAACTTTTTAACCAACTTGTTCATTCATTCAACATTATCCAGGAAGAAGGAAACTTGCTGTGTGAAATTTGCATAGAGGGATCACAGAATTTTGCGCACTGAGGAACTTTCATGAAACTTTGAGAGTATCAGAAAGCTTAGAATTTAGGAATTGAGCTGTAAGAATTTATACTGCAATGAGATACTTTTACTTGTTAGTTTCAGTAATTGTGTCATGGGTTTTGTTCCTTCCAAGAACCCATGAATTGCAAACCTCTCAGAGCCAAGTGTTGTTGCAGTTGAGGAAGCATTTAGAGTACCCTCCCTCATTAGAAATTTGGGGAAATTACAGTGGAGACCTCTGTAACCTGTCTTCCACTGCTCATGTGAGCATTTCATGCCAGGGCAATTCAGTCACTGAGCTCAAAATTATGGGAGATTATAAGCTTGTTAATGTGAGTGGTTTCAATGGATTTGCAATTCCCAACCAGACTCTGTCTGAGAATTTTGAGATTGATTCTTTTTTCACCACATTGTCAAGGTTGCCTAGTTTGAGGGTTCTTAGCTTAGTGTCTCTGGGGATTTGGGGTCCGCTTCCTGATAAGATTCATCGGTTGTCTTCGCTTGAAGTCTTAGACTTGAGCTCGAATTTCATGTTTGGTTCCATTCCGGCGAAAATATCTAGAATTGTGAAACTTCAAACTCTAACACTGGAGGGCAATTATTTCAATGAAACTGTCCCTGAGTGGTTGGACTCGTTGTCGAATCTCACTGTTTTGAGCTTAAAGAGCAATCGGTTGAAAGGCGAGTTTCCTTCTTCGATATGCAGAATCAAGACACTCACTGTCATTGCTTTGTCTCACAATGAGCTTTCTGGAAAGTTACCTGATATGGCTACTTTAAGCAGCCTGCATGTCTTGGACTTGAGAGAAAATCAATTAGATTCCGAACTACCAAGGATGCCGAAAGTGTTGGTTACAGTTCTTCTTAGCAAGAACTCATTCTCCGGAAAGATTCCTGCACAATTTGGTGATTTGGGTCAGCTTCAGCACCTTGATCTCTCATTCAATTATCTTAGCGGAGCACCGCCCTCTGCTTTGTTCTCTTTGTCAAACATCAGTTATCTGAATTTAGCATCCAATATGCTGAGTGGACCATTCCCAGACAAGCTAAATTGTGGTGGAAAACTTGGGTTTGTTGATATTTCTAATAACAAGTTAATAGGTGATCTTCCGTCTTGCCTAGGCAGTCCTTCAAATGAGAGAGTTGTTCAACTGAACGGAAATTGTCTGTCGGTTGATTCTCAACACCAGCATCAAGTTTCATATTGCAGAGAAGCTCTTGCAAGGAACAAACAATCTAGAGGAAGAGGAACCGTCGTGCTAATTGCTGTTATCACTGGAGCTGTTCTTGTTTTACTACTTTTGGTACTCGGGGTTCTTTTCTTTTGTAGAAGATACCGTTCTAGGAGGACAGTTGAGCACAACATATTTGCAAAGGCCGTGCCAGATAATTCACCAAATGGTTATTGCTCTGAACTCGTTGCAAACGCAAGTAAGTTATAACTAATCAGGTTACTTTGTTATTATTTATGTTGCCCCAAACACAAGGCATGACATTTCATAACGAATAATGCATATCAATTTTATGCTCTGAAATCTATGAATACAGACAACAATCATGTTTGAGTAGCTACGAAACTTAAGATGGTAACATTTGTATTATACCCTTTGTAGGATTCATATCTCAAGCAGCGAAGTTAGACACACACGGTACCCCAGTGAGTCGTATATTTTCGCTTGAACAGTTGAAGGACGCAACAGACAACTTCGATTCATCTATGTTTATGGGTGAAGGCTCAATGGGAAAGGTACCCTTCTGATTTAGAAATGCTGTAGATATAATAGTTTGCTTGAAACATCCAATTTTTTAACTATCAAGCTCAAAACTATGAGTAGTAACCGGGATAAGAGTTTAATGGGCTTGGAATTATTTATTGATCACTTAAGCTCTCCAGATTCTTGATTTTGATCTGCTATTTTCATTCTTTTGCTTTCAGCTTTACAAAGGAAGGTTGGAAAATGGGACCTATGTTGCAATCCGATCTCTCACTGTATTGAAGAAATATTCAATTCAAAACCTTAAAGTTCGGCTGGATTTGCTCTCCAAGCTTCAGCATCCTCACTTGGCTGGCCTCTTGGGTTATTGCATCAACACTGGTGGACATGATGATTCCAGCGGCAACAGAGTCTTCCTTGTAAATGAATTTGTCTCTGGTGGGAACTACCGTACCTATCTGTCAGGTCAGTTTGCATGTGTGCGTGAAAGCGTATTTTTAAAGTTTATCATAGGTTTCGTATTGAATTCTCTCAAATTCTAACCAAGCAGTGTGCATACGTGTAGAAAACTATCCGGAGAAGGTTCTCAAGTGGTCTGATAGACTGGCAATTCTAATGGGAGTTGCGAAGGCCGTGGACTTTCTTCACACTGGGGTTATTCCAGGTTGCTTCAACAACCGACTGAAAACAAACAATATATTGCTTGATGAGCATCGGATTGCAAAGTTGAGTGACTATGGAATGTCCATCATCACAGATGAAAGTGAAAAACTCGAGGCACGTTTCTTCACTCATTTTACTTTTTGACTTTGCATTCGTAAGTACGGTTCCAAGTTGTTATTCTGATGCCATTCTATTTCTTCTGCAGGCAAAGGGAGAAGGCCCGAAAACAAAATCGTGGTACGAATGTAACCTATTGTCTACAAAGTAGCTTTCCAGCAGATTACTGCAGTTTTAACAATTCAAAAGTTGAGTATAAATAGTTAGTTCTGTTGTTCCATTTTGCAGGAATAAAACAAATATGGAGGGTGATGTTTACAACTTCGGATTTATCCTACTCGAATCACTAGTTGGGCCTATCGTGAGCGGAAAAGGGGAAACATTTCTGCTAAATGAAATGGTATGCCGAAGTAAAGTTTCGATTTTTATAGAATAACATTTCGAAATGTTTCATGTGGTACTGTAATTTTGATGTGTGTTGTGATGAACCGAAAATGCAGGCATCGTTTGGCAGCCAAGATGGTCGAAGAAGAATTGTGGACCCGATTGTGTTGACGACTTGCTCGCAAGAGTCTTTATCGATTGTGGTATCCATAACAAAAAAATGCATATCTCCAGAAGTGGCAGCTCGTCCCTCGTTCGAGGATGTTCTTTGGAACTTGCAGTATGCAGCTCAAGTGCAAGCCACTGCTGATAGTGATCAGAAATCTGATTCTACGTCTTAAGACTCCTCCTAGTCAGCCTATGCGACAGCTGAGAAGCAATATCACGTTAACATGTGGCAGTGTGACGGTCACATTGAGAAATTTCTCCAAAATGCGGGGATTGTAAAGATAAACTAGGCTGTTGGCTGCATAGCCGTGTGAAAATGTAAAGGTTGTTGAATGCTAGGTTTGGGCTTTTCATTAGTACAAATAATAGTGAAATCGTTAAGTTTAATGTTCGAAAGTAATGGGGCTTTGGCCCTTGGGGTAATATGTAAGCTTACAAAATTTTCACGACTTATTAATGCAAAACGAAATGATATGAAAACAAGGTTTGAAACACCTTGCTAACGAATCGGATTATTATTGGGTTACTCGTTAATAATTCATTTATGAGTCAAGTCGTTATAGAATTATTTGTTAAGAACTTGATAAGATATATTTTTTGAGATCTGGTCATTAGGTATGTCAATTTCTTACATGACTCGTTAATCTGACACGAAAAGAATGAACCGTTTGAGTCAATATCAAATCATATGTTACGAACCCGTTGAGATAACAAGTTTGACACAACACGACCCGTTAAGATAACATGTATGAAACAATAATGACAAACACAACCCATTTGCCAATTCTAGTGATATAGGTTAAAGTCGGTATACGAAAGCAAGCAGATTTGTAACTCAGTTAGTTACGAACACCCGCAACTAAACATGAGGTCGTGTTTTTATATTCTCCGAACACTGCTTGTATCAAGGAAAAAAAGGAGTCAGTAGATATTAACATGGTAATCTAAGATGCACGCTAATTACTAAAGAAAGGTCATTGTTAATTGTATGATTAAGTTAATCAAGGTGGGGAATTAAACAAAATATATAATAATAAAAAATAAAAATAAAAAGAATGGTGGCTCTCACGTTACAAGGACAGGTGAACAATTTCTCCACTCACGTGCGTTGCTTTCTTTCTTATTTCAAAAGAAATCTGCAGGACTGTGTGAAGAGGTAATGTGGGATACTTACAAAATAAGATTAAGGACGATGAAGAATTCGATTCAACAAAAAATAATAATAAAAATAATAAAGAATTTGAATTTAATTTTCATGCACATTGTTGTTTAACAAATTCAATTATCGTCTAACTTTATTTAATTAAAAAATTAGACATAAAGAGAAGTATGCATGAAAAGAAAAATGAGAGTTATATCTAGGGGTGTGCTATCCACACACCTTATTTTACTTCTCACACACCTCTTGATAATTTCTGCCCGTTGATCTTCTTCAATTCATCTGATCCGACGGTCGAAAAGTAAAAAGGTGTGTGAGAAGTAAAATTGGTGAGTGGATATCACACCCCTGTGTCTATTCGAGAATAGGATCTCATATGAGTCAAATGACAAAGTAATATATAAGTTACGGGAGTTTACACTCCTAATTTCATTGATGCCTTTTTTGATAAAACTGAACACCTAGTAACAGGTGGTTAAGTTGGAATAATAACTGTGATATTAGTGGCAGACCATGCTTGGGCTTAGGCCTGACAATTTATTGCACGACACGTTAACCCGATACAAACGACCAAATAATAAGTTTCGGGTCAACCCTTTAACATGCTGGTTCGTTCTGGGTCACCTGCTAAAAACTCGATAAGATATCATTTGCCAGATTTAGACATTAAAATGACAATTTCTTGCATTACCCGTTAACCTGACACGACCCATTGATGAATTGGGTTGTCATTGGGTCACCTATTAAGAGTTGTTAAGAAATTGAGTTTAACACGACTTGCCTTCTTAAGATAACAAGTATGACATGAAAACAATACGAACACGACAACCACGACTCTTTTGTCAGGTCTACTTCGACCTACAAGGTTTATCATTATCTTACTCTAAATCATAATCAAACTTTATGAAAAATCATTATGAGATTATTAGAATATTAAATATGAGAATCCAACCAAAGGTTGGTTGTGTTCCCCAACCTTAATAATAAAAATTGACTACCTTGAAGTGGACAATGTGTTCTTGGTAAAAGTGGACATTTCAACCTACTCCTAACTTAGCTCCTCCTCCTTCTCTAGATACTATATATTAATATGCCTTGTAGCATAATATACTTACATTTTAAGCACATACAAACTTGATTCCATTAGTAGGCAGTTTGGTGACAGACTGACAAGTAAAGGGTCCAATTCTAGCTCCAGTTATATGATACTTACGCACTGATGATCACTTATTTGAGTAGGCCGTTTGGTTGACCCGTCAGTTGTAAAATTACGCTATCTGTGAACATGTTATAATTCGCAACTCCAATTTTCTTTGATCAAACTTCTGCAATCCAAGACAAGACCATAGAGATGATGATTAAGGCTAGGAGAACTGTAAACGAGAGAGACTACCAAAGCAGAATCAACCTCTGCATAAGAAGTTTCTAACTTTAGTTATTTTCAACGTGTAAAACAAAACCCAAAACTCAGCACAAAGAACTTTCCCAACTCCTTTTTCTAGCAACAAAACCAATGAGCCAGTTACCATGCCAATCTCTAATTCATCCTCCACTTCCAATCCAGACCATCAATTCACCATCAATAGTATCTCAATATCATTATTCTAAAAATAACATATTAATATACACTTATTTTTTAAAAAACGAACGTCACGCACACATAATTTTACTTCTTACACTCTCAAATTCGGCCGTGGCCCAAAGTCACGATGGTCGGTGGGCCGTGGCCCAAAACAGAAATGTAACGGCTATTCTGATGGGAGCGCGGGGTCCACTATCTCGCGGGTTGTGTTTTGACGATTTGACCGATTAGTATCCGATGACAACAGCATTGTGTCGGCGAGTACAGTCCAGCCGAGCAACAAAGCGCGGGCATCACCACGACAAAAAGTATTCGCGTGCATTTCACGCTCGGATTCAACTGAGTCAGTTCGCCGAGTCCGACCATCTTTCATGCGCGACGGTTACACACACTCGCCGAGTTCCAACGACGAGTTGTAATTTATTAGGTGAGAGGCGCATTTCAGCCGCGCCGTCGCAATCAGCCAACGTCAAACGACAACGACCGTCAGACACCGAACCAAAGTCCCGCCAGCACGACGCCGTTTCATCACTACTCCTTCGGACAGATAAATAATAAATTTTCTCGCGCTTATGAAAATAATAATTATTTTATTAATTTTTATGGAAATTCCCAAATCGCTACTGTCAGCTTCACCTTTTTCAACATTCGCACTACTTTAAATTCCTGATCAGTTGCGCACTCACTCTCACCCCGTAGAACGATTCGTCTCTCTCGTCTCGCTCCCACGCATTTCTCCAATTTTTGGCCACTGAATTTACTGGTAAATTATCTTTATTTTTCTTAATTATTCATCTAATTTTTTAATTAATTTTTCATTTGCTTCTGATAATCTGCAATTTTTATTGCTTTTTGTTTAATTTGATCGCGTGCATTGTGATAAATCTGTTTGCTTTGAGCTTGCGTGAGTTTGAGTATGTGGATCGGATGCTTAAGCAAATTTAGGAAATAATTTAGTAGCTGAGCTCAGTTTGTGATCTTTGAGCTGTTTTTGTGCTAATTAGAGTCGCATTTTCTTTAAAAATTATTAATTTCCATCTTTTGAGTGTCGGCAGCGTTTGATATTCAATGAGTTTGGCTTCCATCAAACATTACCTTTTTGGTCACCGGTTCTAATCGTGGAAACAGTCTCTTTGTAAAACAAGTGTAATGCTGTGGACGATAGACGTTTCCTCCAACACTCGCTATGTGAGGAGCATTGTTGGCTTGGGTGGCCCTTTTTTATTACCATTTTGGTGACGAATGAAATATTTTTCTGATCCTAAATTCCTAATTTATTGCCATTTTTTGTGAAATATATTTATGCATTATTGTTACTATTTTTCCTAATGATGCTTATTGTTGTGGTTGGTGAGCTCAGTTTGTGATTTTTGAGCTCTCTTTTGCCAATTTCAGTCACATTTGTCATTAAAACTGAATATTTTTTAATCGTTCGAGTGTTGGCGTTTGATCTTCAATGGGTTTGTTTTCCGTCAGATGTAACAGTTTTATTCATATTTTTGACATTTTCGAATTCTAAACTCATAATTTTGTTGCTGATTGAAATGATTTTCTGGTTTTGTTTGTATCTCTAGTGTTTGGAGTATAAAGCTTTGTGAATGTGAATACTTGAACGCATCGGAGAACAAGTCTGCTCTGTCTCTGCAACCATGGGTCTAGGAGTAAAAGCCAAGAGCCGCCGGGGCAGCACGGTTCAAATTGATTATCACATTCATATTCAGGATATTAAGCCTTGGCCCCCATCACAGTCGCTCAGATCACTTCGTACTGTGTTGATTCAGTGGGAAAATGGCGACCGCAATTCGGGGACCACCAGCCCTGTTGTCCCCTCAATTGGGTCCATTGTTGGTGAGGGAAAAATTGTATTCAATCAGTCTTTCAGGTTACCGGTGACTCTGCTAAGAGATATGTCGGTTAAAGGTGGTGGTGGTGGTGATACATTTCAAAAGAATTTGTTAGAGTTACATTTGTATGAGCCTCGGAGGGACAACCCTAAAGGCCAGTTGTTGGCCACTGCCACTATAGATTTAGCTGATCATGGTATCGTGAAGGAGACCATAAGCGTTACCGCTCCAATGAACAGTAAGAGGAGCTATAGGAACACTGATCAACCAGTTTTGTATGTCAAGATTCAGCCTGTTGTGAAGGGCCGCACTAGCTCCTCATCTAGGGGTAGCTTGTCGAGAGGAGTATCACTGGACAATGCTGGCAGTGAATCTGTTTCGGCCTTGATGAATGAGGTATATGCTGAGGAAGCGGAAGTTGCCTCTTTCACTGATGATGATGTTTCCTCACACTCATCTCAAATTATATCTTCCACTTTAGAAACAAATCGCACTATGTCTCCTCGAAAACAAGAGGTAATGATTCACCTAGTTTTTATTTTTTCTGTTTTGGATGGAAACTTGTCACTGTGACTGCTAAAATGATAATATACTAATATGTCATTTAACAATTCCGCATTGGATTGCAGACGGGACAAGAGACGGGGCTTCGTAGCACTGAAGGTGATAACGAGAAACAGGCCTTACACTCAAAACTAGGACTCGAAAAACCAAATTTAATGGCTCAGAATGCACTACATGAATATATGAAGGGAAGTTCATCATGCTCATCATCAATCGACCTATCTTCTGACCCTGGAAGCCCAGTAAATGGTAATGCTTCAGCAGCCAACTCTCCCAGCTCAATTTCAAGAATCCTAAAAACTGTTGGTGCAGAGGCTTCTCCATCAGCATCTTTTAATGGAAAGGCCAAAGATTCCAACTCCAGCATGGGAAGCAATGGCCATGATCACTTAGCTCACGATGTTAATGATAAGGTTGTTGATGGCAGGGGTTGCCTGGAGGCTGCAGTTAGTGATGATAGTTCTACTGAGGACAACGAAAGAAAGCAACAAGAAGAAAATGGAGATGGAAGACAAAGTTTTGATGAGGAAAAGCATTCTTGGGAACGTGAATCATCCATTGTGCACGAGGCTAATGGAAAGGAAATTCCTATTGGCACGAAGGAAAATATGAAGCATGTTAAGTCTGTTAGGTCACCGATTGACTTGGCTAAGAATGCATTAACTGGTATTCAGGGAGAAGCACAGAACGGCACAGGTATTGTAAGAAAAGATGCTAAAGTATATCCTAGGGATTCAAGAAGTGTGATCTTAGAAAGCAAAATCCATCAGATGGAAAACAGAATTAAGTTGCTTGAGGGAGAATTGAGAGAAGCTGCGGCTGTTGAGGCTGCCCTTTATTCAGTAGTTGCTGAGCATGGAAGTTCCATTAGTAAGCTCCATGCTCCAGCTCGGCGCCTTTCTAGGCTGTATCTTCATGCTTGCAAAGAAAGTTCCCATTCTAGGAGGGCCAGTGCAGCTAAAAGTATTGTCTCAGGACTAGTTTTGGTTGCAAAAGCGTGTGGGAATGATGTCCCAAGGTACGTTCTAGCGGTGCTTATTTTCTGCATTTTCTTTGTCTTATTTACAGTCATGTCGCCTTTGAGATTGATCCTTTGAAGCAAAAGTTTCCAGAGCTAGTCAGATTTCAATCGTTAAGTGTGAACTTTTAACAAATTGATGGAACTTTGGTATTTGAAAATCAGGGTACTGCATGAAGATCCAAAGAAGAACTGCATATATGAATTGCATGAATTAAGTTTCCATGTTTGTTTGATGCACTCGTTCATTTTCCTTCTCTCTCTGATTACAGGCTAACATACTGGCTGTCAAATTCTATTGTGTTGAGAACAATAGTAAGCCAGGTTGCTGGTGAATCAAAATTACCTATGTTGGCAGGGCCTTCTATTGACAGGAATGGTGCTGGAAAAGTGAAAAATAAGGTATCGTCTTCAATTAAATGGAAGGCTCCATCTTCTGGGAAGAAAGAAGGAATGAAGCTCTTGAATGGAAGTTTTGGTGACTGCGAGAACCTGCAAACCTTTATGTCTACACTGGAGAAGATTGAATCGTGGATCTTTTCACGGATAGTTGAATCTATCTGGTGGCAGGTCATAGGATAACTCTTTTCCTCTGTTTTTCCGCATTGAATTTTCTTCAAATCTACAATTTCAAAACTATCTTATCAAATGAATTTCATGAGGTCTTGCGTCTGATTCTTTCACTGTTATATTTTCAGACTTTGACTCCACATATGCAGTCTGTCGCTGTGAAGGCAAATAGTGAAGGTGCCAATTCTGGGTCGAGGAAAAACTATAAAAGGACATCTAGTTCAATTGATCAAGAGCAAATTAACTTTTCATTAGACCTTTGGAAGAAGGCTTTCAGGGATGCTTGTGAAAGACTCTGTCCAGTACGAGCTGAGGGACATGAGTGTGGCTGCTTGCCTTTGTTGGCGAGATTGGTATATCCATATATCACAGATATTTCCATCATTATGTATTGATATTAATAAGTATCTCTTTTTTTCTTCGAAGATATCTGAATCTTTGTGAATAGCAATCTCACAGGATGATTTTGTTTCATATGTTTTTTTAACAAACAGTAGTGTTAATGTGTTAAATTGTTAGTTGTTAGGGGTGAGGGGGCTCGGTGGGGATTGAACCCGCACCAGGGTGCATAGGCATGATTGCTTTCCACCACTGCAATAAAGCGCTATCTGCTGTTTCATATGTTATTGATCGATGCAAATTTCTCTCTTTTAAATTTGGCATTGTAATTGCATGATATCTCTGCCACTGTCATGTGTTTAGGTAATGGAACAATCTGTTGCTAGACTAGATGTGGCAATGTTCAATGCTATTCTTCGTGAATCTTCTGATGAGATCCCAACCGATCCAGTGTCCGATCCCATTAGTGATTTGAAGGTTCTTCCAATTCCAGCTGGGAAGTCAAGTTTTGGGGCTGGTGCACTACTGAAGAGTGCGGTAAGCCTTATTCATGAATCTCTCGAGGCAAAAGTATATACGTGTGCACTAAATCTTTGATTCAAATAGATAGTTATGTGCATTGGACTGAAAGCCATATAGGACAAAACACTTCTGAGTTCCATCAAATTCGCATCCTGTACTTCATAATCCCTGAGTCTCATTATTCTGAGTGTACCTCGTCAAATTTGCATCTCTATTATGTTATATGTAAGGAATACTAACTTCTTTTTTTCTCCATTTATGGTCATGGTTATCAGATTGGGAACTGGTCAAGATGGCTAACTGACCTATCTGGTATGGACGATGATGACTCACTTGAAGATGTCAATGACGATGATGACAATGACGAGAGACAAGATAAATCGTTCAAGTCTTTCCATCTCCTTAATGCATTGAGTGATCTCATGATGCTCCCGAAGGATTTGCTCTTAAGTAAATCCATCAGAAAAGAGGTTCAGCACAATTCTCAGACCTTTCTATTAGACTCACCGAGCATTGTTCAGTTCTTATTCATGGTGCTTGGATTTTGTTTTGAAGGTATGCCCTGCATTTTCTGCACCACTGATCAAAAGGATTCTCGACACTTTTGTTCCAGACGAATTTTGCACTGACCCAATTCCAGGCGTAGTGCTTCAAGCCCTAGAATCTGAGGTAATCATCCATTTCAAAATAATTTCTTTAGAGGAGCTGCATGTTTCTGGTGGATTTGTAGTTACAATCATAAGAAGGATGCAGTCTTTGTTAAATCAAAACCAATTTTGGTCTCTTCTGTTGTAAAATAGGACGCTCTTGAGGCTGGGGAGGACACTGTCACAACCGTCCCCTACACCGGAGCTGGTACAGTCTATTTGCCACCCTCAACAGCTTCTGTTGCGAGTATTATCGGAGAGGTTGGAGGCCAATCACAGCTGAGAAGAAGTGGGTCTTCAGTGCTCAGAAAATCATACACCAGTGATGATGAGCTTGATGAACTGAACTCACCCTTGGCCTCAATCTTCATCAATTCTTCCCGATCTTCGCCAGTTGCAACGAAGCCCAGCCGGGCATCAAATGGAAATGGCAATCAAACTACTGTCAGATATGAACTCCTCCGGGAAGTTTGGACAAACAGCGAGTAGCTGTAATATATAGAATTATGTCCAAGTATACACAGATGAATAATTTGTTTCTGTTCCTCAATGGAGTTTGTAAATCCGTGCTCCGGTTTTGGTCACAACATTGTATCTTTGATGTCGCTGTACAAAAATAACAGAAAACGCTGAAATTCAAGTGGTTAAGTGTGTCATTTGTGATCGAATTCTAGTAGAGAAAGTGTTCAATTTATTCTTTTCGAAGAAAAAACGCCGATAGAGGGGGATTTTTTCATGTCTCACTCAATACATTACAAACTTGTAGCTCTCGTGCTGCAAGCCACGGGTGACAAAAATAACACTTACAAGACCAAAATTTCAAAACTACGTTGGAACATTCAACACTCATGAATTCCAACCAAACTCTAACTCTCACATCTTAAATATATACTTATACTCCCGGAATGCAACCGATAAGGAAAGCCGAAAAAGATACAGATGTGTAATCACGCAGTGAGCTTCTGGGAAGAACTGACAGCGTTTATATGCTGAAGATGTAATGCAGCCAACAGCCCCTGCCAGGTTTCTCCCGGCGCAGCTTTGACCTGAAAATCGATGAGTTTGTTCTGTTTTCTGTAGTAATCTTCCAGCGACTTGGACTGAGATAAGAGAGAAACAGATTACTACCCATTTTTCGATGGAGATAAACTAACATATAAAACAGAACAAGGTCGAAATCATCAAACAGATGTGAACAGAGAACAATGGCAGTACCTGCTCTGCATCAGCAGGGGGAGATTTCAGAAGTTCTTCCTTTGACTGCAGATTCAGATTTCGAACGGAGTTGCCCATCCTAAGATATTCTCGGCAAGCAGAGAAGTTTCGGGTTCCTAGATTATTCTTCACCAAGTGCTCATTTGAGCACTTGAAATTCACCACTAAATCAATCTCGGCAATTTGGCCAACAATCTCCTGTAACAAGCAAAACATCTCCATCAAAACAAAAAAATTCAAAATTTCCACAGAAATTACAAAAATTCTCCGGAAACATGTCGCGGTTTAGTTTCCCTCGAGGCTTAATTAAAAGTTTGTAACCAGTTCTATTTGCGTACATTGCATATTTCCCGAAATTCTAATCATAAACCATGAAGCAAAATTATGATCTTGTCATAGAAGTTAAAACTCACAGCTTGTGTTCTTGTTCGAGGAATCCCATCGAGAATGAATCCGATTTCGCCGCGGTAGTATCCTTCTTCCAACCTCTTCGACAACAATGCAAATATCACTTCGTCCGGAACAAGCTTCCCTTCATTCACTGCATTCGCAATCTAAATTACCAAAAACGAGAAAGCATTAAAATTTCTTCCCTCAAAAATGGGAAAATTAATATTTTTACCCCAAAAAATCCTAATTCAATTGGAAAAAACAGTGAAATTAACCTGCTTGTAGAGAGAAGAGCGAGGATTGAGCTCCTGGCGGACGAGGGATCCCATAGAAATGTGCGGAACTTCCAGAAGCTTCGAGAGCCTCTCGGCGTACAGGTGCTTCTTCGCGCCTCTGTCTCCGATCAGCACCCACTGCACACCTCTTCCCGGGACCCACCCGTCCGAGTCCAGCATCCGATTCCGACTTGTCTCCCTCCGTTCCTCCTCTTCGTCCTTATCGTCGTAGTAATAATCGTCGTCCTCGTACTGCAGCTGAGCCGCCGCCGATCCGTAGGCTCGGCGCTCCAGATTCCCGAGGCCGCGGCGCGTGAGCTGGGACGCAACTACTTGTAGGCGGCTGAGTACGGCCATGGTGGCGGCCGGTGGTGGCTAACTGACTTTCTCTAGGGTTTTAGAGGGAGAGAAGAAGGAAGAGAGAGAGCGTGCGGGGCTTTTGCTGATGCCACCCACCTTATTTACTCTTTGATTACGATGTGGGCGCAGATCACATGCATCATATGCAGAATTAATCATGCACCATCTACATGTCAGCACACTACAGGATGGTTGGACTGGTAAGTGTTGTAGGCAATGAATCCCAGAGCGGGAGAGACACGTATCAAATGTATGTGACCCAGGACTCCACAGATGGTGGAGGGTCGTTGTCTGGGTGCCACGTGGGTGATATGCTGTGGTCGGTGCTTTCCATTGGACTAGAACTGCTTTCTGTTAGCCACGACTCTATTCCTTCTTTCATACTCATGGGCATTTTAGGAAATCGATTTTCATAATTTAGCGGGCGAATTGATTAAATTTTTAATATTTAACGACATTTGATTGATATGTGAATAATATTTAACGACTTTTTAATGTTCATTCAAAAAGATAAATATTTACAGAAAAATTATTAAAGTTTGTTTCTCCAACGTTAAAAGAAAACTCAATTCACTAAATTCAAAATGGATCGGTGAACTCGGTCTACAAATATATCATAGTTATCAATGGATTCCTAAAATTTAGGTGGAATGGGGGTTATAATTCTTTCTTTCTACTTTCTCGAGGTATAATGACAGACCAAAAGACTCGACTAGAAGGAATCGGCGGAGAAGTGTCCCCCTACCCTCCTCAAAAACGTTTGTGATTGTTTATCGTAGATCGTGCGGTCAGTTTTTGTTAGGTACTATTTATATTTAATTTTAAAATTTAAATTTTGAAATGATTTCTGACTACACGATATACGATGAATGATCACGACCAAACGTGACCAAACGATGGAGGCAATCTCACTGGCACTGTGAATCCTGCTTTTGAGGGTTTGATTCAACACGACGCATGGTCATGTATATGATCAATAGTATTGTGCACCCCTACTGTGTTGGCTGCTCTAATTGGCTCTCAATCTGCATGGAACTGCCTGCGCGAACGCTATGCATCACACCACATGCCGTCTCTCCAGATTCGAAGTGAACTCATGAATACCCACCATGGCGACTCTTCTGTTGCTGACTTTCTTGATCGTGTCAACTGCATTGCTGACACACTTTCCTTGTCTGGTGCACTAGTGTCTGACTCTGACTCGGCTGCCATCGTCCTCAAACGTAGCCTCTGCTCAGGCTTGCGAGGAGCCATATCTTACAGTGCTTTGGAAGCTCTCCTTCTCAGTGCTGAACGTTGACAGAAAAGCCACAATCCTCCTCTTTGAGGAAGGGGGGGACTCTTGCTGCAGCCATCAATAAATGGGACGAGATTCCTGCTACGAAGCAAGGGAAGCATCGGCGCCTGGGTAATTGGTACGATCGAGTTTGATGGTGAGAAAGTTGGACACGTTGGGTTGGGTAGGGTTTGGGGTAGAGGAGGAAGAACCGATGGGAATTTCCCAAAGTCCTTGGCTTATCAAGGCTGTGATGAAGCGTTGATCGCAGAGGAAAGTATACCAAGCTTTGGCAACACACTTGCATTGTAGTTAATCTTTTGGTGGGAACCGTCCAACGATGCTACTTGTGAGTCAATAGCCCGGCAGGAGATTTTGTATGTTCGGTACTCACACCTAAAATAACTTTAACCGAACTTCTCTAATCTCTAATAAGAAAGTCCTACCAAAATTTCTCTTAAGTTGCCCGGTATCTCGTATGTTGTCATGGTCCAACCAATCTGTTAAGGAATTTTTTTTTCCGCATTTGCAAAAGATATATTTGATTTCAAAACTCTGCCTTTTTTTGTAGGATGCCAGAAAATATTGAAACAAACTGAAAACACGCACTTTTAGTGGGGTTGAATTTTAACTTTAAAATTAAAGTACATTCTTAAAGAGTAAGAATTGTTCTTTGGTTCAGCAAAGCAAAAGAAACATGTCTGTGCTGCCTTTGTAACTTTAATGTTCACTGCACTTTCCCTTTGCGTCTGACGAAAGACTACATGACCACCAGACGAGATCTCTTTATTCTAACGTCCTGCATTACTGCATTTGCTTGATTTTCAGGTACATGTTTCCGGTATCTTCCCATTTTATTTCATTGTTCTGCACATTTGTCAAATTGTGATTATCGGAAATGTATGAATGCCTATAACTAGTTTCTAAAAATACTTCAGAATTTGTTTCATTTGCAATTTGTTTCAGGATTTTTTAAAATATATAGTCATGGAAAGTGAGGTTGACGACAGTACTTCCATGGAATCCGTTTGTATAGACACTGATGGTATCATTGAAGAATTGACAAACACCATCGGAGCAAAGCTTCTCAACCATTCGCCATTGCCAGCATCCTGCTGCATATTCAGAGTTCCCCATCAGATTCGGCGACAAAAAATACAGGCATACGAACCTGATATCGTCTCAATCGGGCCCTTTCACCGAGGCCGCGGTGGCGATCAATTCCAACTCATGGAAAAGGTGAAGCGCTGGTACTTGCAGTGCCTTCTCGCAGACGCAAACATAACTTTGGCAACCTTGATCACAGGTGTCGTGGATTTCAACAAGCGTGCTCGTGATTGTTACGCAGAGCCATTGGATCATTTCAACAAGAAAGACTTCGTTGAGATGATGGTAATCGACGGATGTTTCCTAATCGAACTATTTCGAAAAGGACTTTCCGTCGATCAACAAGACGAGAACGACCCCGTTTTCAATGTGTCCTGCATGCTGCAATATCTTTACCATGATCTTCTCCTGCTAGAAAATCAGCTGCCATGGTTTGTTCTCGAGCGGTTATACAATTCAACCGCCATGAAGAATACTACTTCCGAAGGAAATGCCTCCTCCCTCACCGACCTTGTCCTCAACTTCTTCAGACAATCCGTGGCGGACGATGGTATTTTTATTTTCAAACCGAGTCCGAATCTCCCTCCCGAACCCCTGCACATACTTGATCTCATAAGAACCGTGATCGTTGTTCCTTTTGAAGATTTAGGCTCCAAACGAAAAGAAGAGGGTGAAGACCAACAGCAGAGCAAGGAGAGAGAGCTGCCGCAGAGGGTTCCGAACGTGACAACTCTGTCCGAAGCCGGCATTAAATTCCAAAAAAGTTTCAAAACCCCGGACTGCATAATGAACATAAAGTTTGGAAATGGGGCGTTCACGATTCCACCACTAGCAATCGACGAGCGGACAGGGCCGCTCTTCAGGAACCTCATCGCCTTCGAGCAATGCTGCCACAGCCGCCTCCACAAGATAACATCTTACGCCGTCCTGATGGATAATCTCATCGATTCGAGCAAGGACATCGACCTTCTTTGCGAGGTGGGAATACTGGTGAACTGGCTGAGCTCGGAAGACGCTGCGCAGTTCTTCAACGAGCTGTACAAAGACACGACGGTCATCGGATTTTACTACGAGGGACTTTGCAACGATGTGAATAAGTATTACAAGACTGACTGGAACAAGTGGATGGAAAAGCTGAGGCGCGAGCATTTCGGTACGCCGTGGGCGATTATTTCTTTGGTCGCTGCGTTTATTCTGCTGGTGCTCACAATGTTGCAGACTGTATATGCAATTCATCAGTATTATCATCCTCCTAAATAGTTGTATCAATTTGTTATTTGCCTTGATTTTCTTTCGCTTCCAACGCTTAAGGTTTGGACATGTGATGGGTTGTGTGTGTGTGTGTTAGAACCTGTGAGAGCTGCGAGTTTTGTCGTTTGAAGTTTTTTGGGACAACCATGTAGACAGAATTTGGGTGTGATGGCTTGATCACGTGGCTTGTCCTACCACAAAATAAGATGTTATAACATTGTCATTTATCTTTTACCTAAACTTTTATAAATATATGACCTTCCTGATCTATTCTTCTCATTTTGATTCTCTTTATCTTCCTTCAATGTTTTCCGATGACCGGAATATTTATTTTTTGATTCACCCTTTAAAGATTAATTATAAAAAAAAATCAACTAAATTATAAATTGTGCAACATTGCAGTTGAGAAAAAAAAAAGCCAAGAATGTTCAAATTGAAAGTCGATAGCATACTTTATCCGGGTATCGATACTGTGGATAGTTGATAAGTACGTCTGTACATATCTATATAAAGTAGTTGATAACAATAACATATCGAGATACTGTTGAATAGCCAAACTAACCACGGGTTGACGTGGTTGACCCAAGGTTAGCCTTTATAAGATTAAAAAACAGAACAAGTGGCTACTTGTATAAAATATTTTCACCAAATTCACCAATCCGAGCTCTTAAAATTTGATACAACGGCAAAAAATAGAGGTCATTTTTAAAAGTTATAATAACTTTAATCGTTAAATCAAATTTCAAAAATCCGAATTGATGAATTTAGTGAAAAGAATCCGAAGAGGATCCTTTCCCAAATATTTAGGGCACTAGTGGATAAAGAAACCGTTTAGAAATTTGAATAGAATCACCACCAAAACCAAAGATCTAGAATGTATTTTTTTAAGATAATAAGAATTTATTAAAAACCAATCGAGAAGGTATAGAGAACAAGTATGTTCAACATAACTAAGAGGCCACATAGGCTAAAAAAACCACATAAATTTACAATTACAAATCATTATGAAGACAATATAATTGTCGAACCACCACGAAGACCTGTATCTAATCCATAAGAAAGATAACAACCTGCGAGTCATAGAATCATCATAACAACATCATGAGAAAAAACTGCACCACCTCTGATGATCTTGCAATTGTCAGCAAAAATGTACTTCTATGAGTCACCTCCAACAAATGTCGAGTTTCCCCCCCATAGTTCTTCGCTGTGTGCACAAACTAAAAGAAAAACAAAAATCAACCTTAACTGTGAACAATAGCCGCTGCTTAAAGATCTGAGTTTGATTCTTAATCATAGCCATCACAAAGACTTTTCTCGGTAGAGCAAGACAATAACCTTAATCACGAAAACTCTTCTTGTGACAACAAAAGAGCAACCATAACTAAATAGAAACACAAAAAAAGAAGAAAAAAAATCAAGAGAGATTGTCGTCAACTCCAAAGTTAACGGTCAAAGTCGGCTGTTGATGATTATTATTATTATTATTATTATTATTTTATATAGGTTTTTCTCTCGATAGTGGCTATCCAAAGAGCTAGAATTTAAATTCAAGGAAGTTGCTTCCCACTTTCGTATATTTCTTCTGGTGGTTGACGTGGTTTTGGCGGTTGGCAACGGACGGCATCCAAAAAAATATTTTGCTTCGAGCTGCTTCGAGAAAGCTCGAATTAAAGTCAGTCGGTCACTAAAAGTCCAAAATCCAATCTGTGTGCAATAATAAACCAACAACTCCTCTGTTTTCGCGTTTTTTGTTTTTATTTGGCCGGTTTTTGAGATTCCTTATATACAGAAAATTGTTAGAATAATAAATGTTTCTTTTGTCTTCCACTCGTTACGTGACAACCATTTATTCGACAAATAATTTATTTTTTAAACATATAAAATTATTTATAAATGAGTGATATTATTGAGACTGAGCATTATTATCAAGTAATATTTTTTTTATTTATAAACTGAAAATATTAAATTCAACTAACAAATATATTGAATTTGATATTTAAATATTAAAGTCATTATTCACGAAAGTACTACGTGCGCACGGAAGTACCATCAGGTCGGTTGGTCAACCACGACACGCGCATTGTCTTATGTATTTAACCCAGAACCAAGAGCACAAACTTCCAGAAAGAAAAACGGTTTCGAGCTAATGGATAAAGTAGCACAATACGAGCGCGTTTTCAAGCAGTTTGATGCCAACGGAGACGGAAAGATATCACCTATGGAGCTGCAACAGTGCGTCGGGGCGATAGGCGGCGAGCTCTCGCTGACGGAGGCGGAGGTGGCGGTGGAGTACCTAGACTCGGACGGCGACGGGCTGCTGGGGTTGGATGACTTTGTCAAGTTCGTCGACGGAGGATGCGACGAAGAGAAGGTTAATGTCTTGAGGGAGGCTTTTAATATGTACGTGACGGACGGGAGTGGGTGCATTACGCCCAAGAGTCTCAAGAGGATGCTGAGTCGGCTCGGCGAGTCCAAGAGCGTCGACGAGTGCAAGAACATGATTGCGAGATTTGATCTCAACGGCGATGGGGTGCTCAATTTTGATGAGTTTAAGGTCATGATGTTTTGATGGATGGTGTATATATGAAGTGTGATTTTTGTTTGTTTTTGCTACTTTTGTAGTCTGTTCATTCGATGTTGCTTGATTTTACGACTCCAGTGCTGATTTTCGGCAAATCTAACATGAGACAGAGATTATTACATTCATTCATTTTCTTCTATACTGCGTATTTGGATTAGGCTGGTTCATCAGAACATTGTTTCTACTCTTTGTTCCTGAATTCGAATCGCCTATTTATATATACAAATTAGTTTAGAATATTGCATTTTTGTGTTGAAAAATTGATTTTCTTCTAAGTCGTCTACCTTTTCTCTCTTTACAAGGGTTGGTGTTACTCCTTGTTCATGCAGTTTCAATTGTCTACCTAATGCTTAACTAATCGGAAATTTTCAACTGTCTACCTAATGCTTAACTAATCGGAAATTTTGAATTAGTTACGGTATTTTAAGTCAATCATGCATTGTTATGTATTTTTATCTTACTTATCTTACGTTTTGTCGTTGGTCTGGGATACAATGACCACGACATGCATCCCATGTGCAAGAGGGCCTTCTCTTGTTCAACATTTTGAAATATGAAAGGGAAAAGTTGTTACTTTGTGATCGAAATGTCATGGGTTCAAATTATGAAAACAGTTTTTTAACAAAGTAAAAATAAGGTTACATATACTATAGACGTTCCCTCTCCGATTCTCACAAAACAAACGAACGACCTTGTTAGCTCGGGTTTGAATTTCAATTGACTGATGTTTGAATGAGATAGTAAATGCAGCACATGCTCCTATACAACAAGGCAATAAGAAATCATGTAAATATAGAACCAACCACCATTGAAGCTCTGCACCTATAAACTAAGTAGCTAGTGCCTAGTAGTACCAATGCCTTCTATTATTTGAGGAAACAAAGATGTTACATATATATACAAGCAGAAGAACCCTCTGATATGCACCCATAAACATTTCTTCTGTTTGCAATGCATCCTCCCAATGCTTTGTTCACACATTGTTTGCCGCCGCCGCTTTCACCAGCGGCTTACAAGAGCTCTCACTGATCAAAATATTCTCCCCCTCCACGCTTTTCGACTCCTCCACCAATCGCGACAACTTGTGGACAACTTCCCCTGCACTAGGCCTCAAACTAGGGTCTTCGTGGACGCAGGCCCTTGCTAGATTTGCCAGTGTGACAGCTGCGTCGAACGAATAGTTATCCCCCAACGCGCTGTCCATCCACTCTCTTAACTCCTCTGCATTGTCCGAATGCAACACGGATTTGATCTTCTCTGAGAGGTAAAAGTTTTCTTCTCCCTCAGCGCCCGGCCTGCTTATTGGCGTTTGTCCACACAAGACCTCTAGCAACACGACGCCATATGCGAAAATATCAATGCTTGGAGAAATCACACCCTGGTGAACATATTCGGGTGCCATGTAACCCAGGCTCCAAGACGCGGCAGGGCTGGTTGGACTACAATGTTGATCGTCCGAGTCATTTTCAGCACACTTTGCCATGCCGAAATTCCCAATCTTCGCGTTGAATTCTTCGTCTAGGAAAATGTTTCGGCTCTTTACATTACGATGGACATAAGGGGGTTTCATAATGTGGTGCATGTACTGCAAACCCATGGCTACATCAAGACATATCCTCAGCCTTTGGCTCCACGTCAAGAAACAATAGCACGACGCAATGAACTGGTTTTTGATTGCCAATCCGCCATGGAGCCAGTCCTTCAAAGATCCATTGTTCGCGTACTCGAAAACCAGAAACGATTCTTGCCCCTCTGGCCTTAAGCAAGTTCCCAACAGCCTCATTATGTTGGGGTGATGGTGAATGGCATCGTGAAAAAGACCAAACTCAATCTTCGAAATTGTATCTGGCTGTATGCGCTTTACTGCCAAATTCTTCCCGCTTAGGCGGCCATGGTACACAGATCCTTCAATGTGGTTGCCGGAACTGAAGTCCTCGGTTGCTCTGCTCAGCTCCTCAATTGTATACATCTCCACCAGCACCTTTCGCGGCGTGGTTGTATCGATGATCTGACCGTCAAAAGTATCTTGTGATCCCTCAAACGAGACTTTCTTGTCACTTGTTGTCCTCACACTTAGGCTGAGCTGTTGCAGCTCCACATCACGTCCTTTTGGTGAAGTCTTTTTCTTTTTCTTCATCTGAAATAGCAAGAATGCTGCCGCGACCGCAATGCTGGCTCCAACAATGACTCCGCTAAGCGTGACATACAATCCGATGTTCATTTTTGCCTTCTTCTTGTGTGGACTAATTGCCGGGATGCTAGTTGCTGGAAAGCGCAAATTGGGTTCCCGGGGCTTTGCTAGAGGACCGAGTATAGGTTTTCCTTCAAGCGGAATCAAAAGAGATGTGAGAGGTGTCAACCTTTTGGGTCTAAAGCTTTTGAATGATCTGTTATTTGCAGATATGATAGCTTCTTGTGTTGTATTGAATTTAACAGCCAAATCAGGAATCGTGTCGCCTTCACTCACAGGATATGTAATCAAGAGTCTTGATTGTGTCACAAGTCGAGATGATGAAGAAGGACAAGCACATCTCAAGGGGATCACCAACTGAAGCTTATCAGCAAGCCCCCACGGCGAAACGCCTGGATTCTTCTCTCGAATAGCACTGCAGGTTGTCAAGCCCTCTAATGACTGAGCAATGCCATAAAAGCTCTCACCTTTCACACTAGTCTTTGTCAACTCGGCACAAAAAACACCACCATTGCCGCACCCACAATCAATTGGTATCAACAAAAGCTCATCTTTAGGAAGAAACTCCGTGTCAGCTGAAAATCCGTTCGCATCTGCTATCACAAACGGACTGATGCCCAAGTAAGAGCTCAGATTGGAGAGAGAGGAGTAGTACGCGTTGGTGCGAAGAATCGCGAAAGTTGCACACTTGTTCTCCACAGATGATGCATTTGTAGCGTTGCAGTAGTAGCCGGAAGCGTCAGGAGACGTGGACTCGCAGCTCAAAATGTTGTGAGATTTTTGTTCAAATGCAGACACAGTTAGAAGTGAGAAGAAAAATAGGAAGGAAGAAGCAGAAGAAGCAGCTGCTGCAGCCATGCCGATGAACCACTAGGCTGACCACTCAGTTCCACATGAGCCTATAAAAAATAAATACAGTTTAAAACACTTTGAGGGAGTGAATATTTTGGATCTATACAAATATAATTTAGACAATTGAACTGGAGAATTTTACCAAAGTTGTTCATGAACAAGATTCTTGGGGATGGCAAGGAATTTGCATATATTAATCTCTCTGATTCCAGCTGTTTAATTAGTCCTTACCTTGGGCTAATCCATCCATCCTACATTACCAAATGCTAGCTAATGGGCAGCTACTTATCCCCAAGTTCCAAATGCCACTTATCAGTTACACTTTTCTCTGGATAAGACTTGTTATCGATACATTATCCGTCAGTTAGCAATTAACACTGATGACAAGCAGTTATTCTCTAGACAAGAGTTCATTAGTCACTTAAAACGACGAAATATTTGATATAGTGTTGATAAGCTATAGATAACATAGACCGGTAGCATGTCAATAGCAATCGTGTGCAATTCAAATATTATCCACATAATTGATACAAATATTGACATTTTCGATACAAACGAAAGAACAAGCGTGAATCATTTGGAATGAAAAGATGGAAGAAGCTAAATTGGCAGGCAGGCAACATCAGTAGGGATAAAAATGATGCAAGATTTGGAGAAATTTGAGGATGAAAATGAACTGAAATACAATGGAAGAGACTGATGCAGGTCAAAAGTGAGGCATGAAATAAAGGCCTACGTGTTATTGATAGGTCAAGTTGGTTATGAACAACCTAGGTTGACAATCCCCACCCTTCACCAATAGATCAAATATTCGTTTTCAGTCATAGCTCAGAGATGAAAACAATAAGCGTGTACACAATGAGGTAGTGGAACATTGGAACACACTGATGTTGTGAATTCTCTCAATTAGACTCTTTTGAAGAAATTAGGTTCAGGCAAAAGGGGTAAAAGAAGATTTAGGAATATGGGAAAGAGCCTCTAAGAAAAAACATGGAGTATTTTGAGCTAACGAACGACTTGACACAAAACCGAGTTCAGTGGCGTTCTAGGATTCATACAACCGACCTCACTTAGTGGGATAAAGCTTTATTATTGTTATTGTAGCCTCTCTGAAGAAATTCTTATGGGTGACAATAAGACTAAGATAAAAAGTCCAACCCACTCACAATGTAGTCTGCCTTTTTGCATTTAGGTACCACTTTATCTCATGTAGTTACAAATCCAATGTAAGGGATCACTCCATTGTGAGGAAATCAAACAATTTACCTGATCCGACTTTCGAACACAAGAATTTTTCAAAATTTTGGTCTGTCAAGTCCAACCAAGAGTTAGTTCAGTTAATTTGTTTGGAAAATCCAACTATGTATGAGTAGCAATGCCCATATTTCACAAAAAAGTTCGAGCACATCCCAAGAGGGCCAAAGTCGAATAAAGATGGAAGGCACTTTTCGTTCAAAACAAGATTAAGAAATACAAGTAGCAATGGATGAACTAAAGAGTCCCAACAGTGAAGGGCACGTGATAACACATGCTGACCACTTCCCTTGGTCAACAATGAAAGATTTACCAAAGTACCAATGTAGGACTTTGGAGCATGCCCAAGTTCTAAGTTTCTATCCGAGTCTAAGTTAACTCGGATCACCTATTAAGAACACGTTAACGAATCAGGTGGTTATCGAATTATTTGTTAAGAATCCGTTATGAAATGTAAAAGACACGACATGGAAATTACTTGCATAACCCATTAAGGCAACATGAAACAACACGACCTTTTAACGAGTTGGATCGTTATCGGGTCATCTGTTAAGAACTTGTTAAAATAAAATGTTTGACACGAAGTAGTCCGCTAAAATAACATGTATGACACAAAAACAATACAAACACAACAAACGCAACCCGTTTGCCATGCTCAAGTGAGATTAAACTTATTAATAAAAATTAAGAACTAGATTTGCCCATTTCTCATACGCATCGATCCGATCTCGCATTTTTCTGTTTCATTAATTATGTAATTAAGCGTTTAATTATATTCTAGTTTATGTGTTTTTATAGGTCTTCCGAATGTAATTTCTTCTCTCGCAC